GATTCTCTTCTTGTCCGACATTCTCCACCCAGCCTATTGACTGCCCCTTCAAGGTCTCTCTGTTTGGCTGGGGGTCCTCCTCCACTATCTGAGAATCCACGCCTCAGCAATAAACTACCACGTCCTCTACCTCCACCAGGACCAGAAAGGGCCAGCAATCTGGCTTGGATGGGCCTCACGTCATTGGGATCTCGCCCAGTGAGCTTGCGAATATTCTCGTCCACATTTTTTAGGCTCTCTTTGGCCTTCTCTAGCTGCTCCTGCAAAGTTCTCACAGCGACCACCATCTCCCCCTGCAGCGGGTTTCCAGACAGCTCTCTGCAGAGATTCTCATGGGAATATTTTATAGACAATATTGGCCTCCTGATATCTTGAGACTCCAGAGGGATCTCTCATTGGGCAAAAATTCACATGGGGACAAAAGCAAGTAACCAAGTAAAGCTTGAACACAAATTGTCCATTTTAGACCACAAACCAGAACCTCAAAGAGCTGGAATTTGTTCCTGGAGACTCAGTCAAATGTGAAATACAGATGCCGTGAACAAAATAAGTACAAGAAAGGACTTGGTTGGTGGTGATGGTGGGAAAGGGGAGGGCAACTGCACAGCCTGCACTTCCTGCTGAGAGGGGCTCAGAGGGTGTATGCAGAACAGAAATATCATTTTGGGCTAATAGATTTTAGCCTATGAGTTAAAATATTACAAAGGAAGGAATGCTTAAGCTCCAGTTAGAAACTTGAATTTGTATTGATACCAAGCTTGGGGTGTAGGAGTTAAAAAATGAAACTAATGTATTTGTTTAACATAGGTGATTTGAATGAAAATGGAACTAAAAAATGCCTTATAATCAACTCAGTTGGATACATGACCATTGGAGGTGTCATTACTTTCCACATTTAATGTAAAATTAATTATTAAGACTGTAAAAATAGAACTTTTTGTTTTTCTCATACATGGCAACAATTTGTACTAGCAATGTTTCTAGTGGTTTCAAAGCCCTGTCTTTCTGGTTACTAGCTTTAAGAGCCACATAGACTCTTTCCCTTTCCAGAATGACCCAGAGTAGACCTCCTGGTATTGTTTTGATTACTGGCAGTATATGCCACTGTGTATACACTACTGTTCTGTTGTCATGGAGTAAAGGTTCTAATATTGTCATTACTATTAACTAGACTAATCTAAAGATCTCCAAGCCAGTTGTTTATTTTAAAACTTCAAATTCACTTAAACTTCAGAGAATGTGAGAAGAATAACTATGTTCAAAACATTTTGTTATTCTGAAAACAAATTTTGAAAACAAAATTTTTGTTCAATATCTAAATCTTTTTTTTTTTTTAATGGGCCAGGACTCGAACTCCGGACCTTGCACTTGCCAGGCAGGTGCTTATGCTGTTGATCTATCTCCCTGGCAGCAGCATCTTAATCTAAGATGAATTTTTGTTTTTAAGAGAGTCTTCCTTCATCAGTCATTCCCCCATCTCAAAGTAGAGTTTCAACTGACAGAACACTGGGTTACATTTGCAGGTGTTGGGCTCTAGTCTCAGCTTTTATTTATGAAAATAAGCAGGCAATGTGTTAAATCTGTTAATTCTTCTGATAATTAGTCATAACTGCTCTTTATGAAAATACTGACAATCGATATTTCATTCTCAAATTTCTAGCTATTAAAAGTTTAATTTGGGCCGGCAAGATAGCTCAGCGGTCTAAAGTGCCTGCTTAGGCAAAACTTAGGCAGGTGCAGGGGACTGTGGTTCGATCCCTGGCATCACATACCATGCCAGCCCCACCCTCAGAGTGGGCTAAGCCAGGCAAAAAAACCCGTTTAATTTGGGGGGGGGGCAGTGAGATAGCACAGTGGACTAAAGCACCTACTTAGGTAAGTTTAGGCAAGTGCAGGGATGGTGGTTCGATCCCCTGTACAACATGCTGTGCCAGTCCCACCTCCAGGGTAGGCTGAGCTGGCCAGAGTCCTGGCGTGGTGGCACCCGCCTGTAATCTCAGCTCTGAGAAGGCTGAAGGTAGGAGGATCATTACAAGTCAACTGTGTAGTGAGTCCCTGCAATAACCAAATATATTTTTAAAAAAAGTTTTCTAGTATAAGAACTCAAAAGAAGAAATACAAATAGAAAGGTATAATACAACTAAAAGGAAAGCAAGAACTTGAGGACTAAATAATTAAGAGAGGGAAAGGAGAAGAGCTAGGAAACATGACAGTGGCAACCTATGCAGTTACATGTAGAAGATGGGTAAGGCACTGATCCTGAGAATCTTCAGAATATTTTTGAATCTAGCAGTTAATTGGAAGGATTGTCACCCTGACTAACTATATAGACTGACACCTGTGAACTAAGCAACTGCACTGAAGATGGTAATCTGTAATAGTAGGTTCATGCTTGGAGTGCCTGTCATTCTGGTCTTCT